GGGGGGGGGGGGGGTCGCTTTCAGCTCTCGGTACATGGACAAATCTTCAGGACAGAACAAAGCAATGAACTCATAGCGTGTGGACCATATAAGCCACTACCGATCCCGAACCTACAACTACGCCTACCAGACTTCCGCGTCAAAACTGCCGTGAAAACATAACAGGACAAAAACGGCCATGAAATTCACCCGGCTGATGCTCGCCACATCCGAAGCCGGGGGCCACTCGAGCGCGGCCTCGCAGACCGTGCAGGCATACTGTACCTCCCTATCGGGTCTTCTTACGAAAGTGACGGTCGTAGAGCCTTCCTCGCCCTTGAACGGAGAGACCAGACCGTGGGAGTGTACCGCACCCAGGAGCTGCACGATATTGACAGCTACTGCAGGACCATGATTTTGATGCAACCAAAGTCATCGAAGACATGCGCCGGGTCTGCACGGAGCTTGCCGTGTACAAAGACGCGCTAGCAGACCAAAAGGAAACGGTGACAGACCGCTTGCGGTGGTCTGCCAGCGTGTCTTTCTGCTGTTGGCCAGCGTGTCTTTGTACACACGGCAAGCTCCGTGCAGACCCGGTGCATATCTTGGATGACGTTGCCCGGATCAAAATCGTGGTCTGCAGCAAATCCCAATGTGAACTGCTCGTGCAGCTCCTGGGTGTGGTACACCCCCGCGTTCTGGTACTTTCGTTCAAGGGCGAAAAAGGCACCACGACCGTCCCTGTTGTAAGAAGACCCGAGAAGGGCACAAGCCTGCAATGTCTGCGAGGCCGCGTTCGAGTAGCCCCCGGCTTCGGATGTGGCGAGCATCAGCCGGGACAAGATCATGCCGTTCTTGTCCTGGTATGCGTCCACGGCAGATTGGTACGCCGAAGTCTGGATCGACGTAGCTGTATGTCCGGGGTCGGTAGTTTTTTTTTTCCGTGTATGTGTGTGTTTACGTTGAAAGAAAGTTCGGGAGATTTGTGTCGGGGGAAACTGCTGATGCAACGCAGCCGAGAAAGGCACAACAATGGATACGGAGTTAAAAGTTCTTTAGATGACATTGTTTCGAGAGGACATGGATATTGTTTCTTGGGACACTGAGAGAGATTGGGTTTGGGTCTTACGTATCGGAACTAGACTGAGGTAGTTCTTGAGAGGACATGTTGGAGTGCTTGCAGCAACAAGAACGACTCTATTCTGCTGCCTGGGTTTGATGCGGTATTGTGAAGGCGTTGCCAAGTCTGTAACCGTCAGGTGAAGACAACTTGTGCGTCTGAGTGTGCGTTAAGTCCGTGCATGTGTTCGTCCCATCTATTCTGGCGCCGGTTTTACAAACCTTTCGGCGTATTGTATGTACCTGACGTATCAGCAGGGGTCACGCAAGAGGAAGGTCACACAAGAGCTGTTTCCTCATGCTTTTTTCTTAGTGTTATTGCCCCACCTTTCCCCGTGCGGTGTTTGCCTTAGCTCTTACCGCGAGAAGGGTTCAGCCACCCCTTTCCCTCGTCGACCGCGAAGCCGAAGTCTATTTACTCACGACCTTGATCGCTTTCAACTACAGGTTGCCGGAAATAGATCCCCGTGTGGGGAAAAAACATCACTCTGCTGTGTGTGTGCTGTGTGTGTGATTGCCTACATACCTTACCTCGCATCCATGCCGGCTACGTTAGAGCTACAGCTGGGAAGATAGAGGTACAGCGACTGCAGCGACAGTGCAGTTGCCTCGACATTTCCACATAATGTGTGTTTAGGTATTTACGCAGGGGGTATGTACGGCATGCTGGAAGGGGCACAGTCCAACATGGGGCAGGTACATGGGGGGGGAGGGGCTACGACATGTGGTTCGTCTCTCATGGAGTTGGTATATCGCAGATGCCTTTGGTGTGGGAACTACCACACCAGGGGAGGATAAACTCACGTCTACACAACGCCCCGACGTCCGCTTTCATAGCTATGCTTATACAGAGAGATATGTTTGGGCGGTGGGGAGCTAGGAGCTTTTCGCCAAGAAGCAGCGCGCCTACTTAGGTGTACTGTAGCAGAGTGCTCGATGGATCGACGGGTAAAATTTCGTCAAATGTACATCGGAGCGGCTCGCGGCCACCGCATGACACCAGTCAAAGGTCACCATTCGCCACATCTCGAGTGGAGACAAGGCACAGGATTGGCAGTCCACTTAACCATGTTGAGAAAGCGAACGGGGGGTGTCAACACATCCCATGTGAAGTGTCACCATAGACACACTCCGATATGGTAAATAGAGAAACTGATTTCAGGCACAACAAGCAACAACCAGACCAGCACAAGATCCCTCCAAAACAATCAAGGATCGAGGATCGAGGCGACTTACACCGACGTATTCAATCATTCCACCAAACCAGCTTCTCCACAGGAGTAAATCGCGTCTTCGACACTCGCCGCCGCTGTGAGCTACGACCTCACCTTCATTGCTGTGACCGCCGTGTGCCTGTGGGCCCACCCCCTCTCACGCGCTCCTCTCTTGTCTCGCGCTCTCCTCTACAGCCAGTCTGTTACACCGCAGTAGAGCTTTCTCTCCCCAGGGAGGTTTGCAGTGACACTGACGTCAACAGTGGCGGTGTGTGGCGACTCCCTCTTCTTGAAGTCCCGAACACGACGGGGACAGAGTAGGTATGGCTGCTTCTCTCGCTCGCGTGTTGCTAGGATACGCGGTGTGTGGATGGAGGCTGGCTTGTCCTGCCTCTGGTTTGTGGGTGGCCCAAAGGGGGCAAAAGCTAGGAAAGGATGGTACCCTTGTGTATTCGGGGCTCCGTGTATCGATACAGTCGTAACACGTCTCGCGGCGGACACAGCAGCAGTGCTTGCCTGGAGACGTTGGAAAGGGGCGCTTGTTTCGGGGGCGAGGAGGCGGAGAAGCGGGCCCATGCGAGATGGCGGTGCTCAGAGAGGAGGGTCTGCCCTCGAACAGCGAGCCCGTTCAGGTGTGAGCCTGACGAGAAACCCACAGCAGTTTGGTCAAGTTGATGTGGACTGCTGCGCACCGCGGTGCGGTTGCTGCGAAAGAGAGCAGCAGACAGCAGCAGTCGTTGTACACAGGTGCCGATGGCCAACTGCTGCTGTGTTGGTGTTGAAGCTTGCTCGAGGCCTACCGGCATGTCTGTGCGACGGAGAATATTCAAATGCGTGCCCAGCAGCACACGGGCGCTATCTTTTGCTGCTGTTGGATTCAAAAGCCAAACCGTCAAATTGTGCGGCGAGTCTCCAGCGGTGTGCCTCGCTCTCTGGCTTTCCAAACGCCCTCCGTGCCCGTGGAGAGACAGAGACAGACAGCGACAAAAAAACTCAGTACACTACGTCGTAGTAGGTGTGATAGGGTTGATGCTCTGGCGCCTAGACGCCCATTCCGGTGGAGTACCCTGTAAGGGGTGGGAACGACAGCGAAACACTGCTGTATCTACCCATGCATCGGTGTGTGTTGGGAAGCGGGTTTGGCAGAGATCGCGTTTGCTTATCGAAGCTGCCGGAGATGATAGCATGCACCGACAGCGCGCAGCACTGCTGTGTATTGTTTTAAACGTCGGTTTGATGACGGTAATTCTCAGACAAACTCATTCGTGCCGTTTTGAACAGACGAGAGAACCTATGCTCATGTATGACATGACATCATACCTAGTATCGCACTGGCTATATTTGTTGACGGAGGTCAACATCGACCACGCCGTGGACGTGTACGTTTGCTCCAGAGTGGTTTGAGGCCCGTCACCCCTGTACACAACGCAACAGAGATTGCCTGGTTTTGTGGCACGAACAAAAAATTGTTGCTTTCCACTCTAGACCTTGGTACTAAGTGGCACAGCAGTAGTTCCCATGAGCTGACAGGAACGTGCGAAGAGGTGTCAGCAGCATCCATGGTCAAAACCTGGTCTTGTGTGTGACGTCGATGTGCTTTCGATGGGTTCTTCATTGAAGTCCTTGGTAACACAGCTTTAGCTTTCTCTCCTGCCGCGCTCCTATACCACCAGCCGGGGTCATAGAGGAGGAAGCCCAACACGGGGCTTTTTTCTCTCTCTCCACCACTCAAGCAATTCCTTCCCTCATTTTTCTGTTTTCCTCATGGCTATGTATGCGCTTTCCACGCCTAAAACGCGTTTTTTTTGTACAGGCAAACTGTTAAGTCAGAAGAGCCACGAGGTTACCTCGTGAATCTGCTCGTATGTTACATGCCACACCCACACGTGTACATGTATATCACACACACACACACACACACACACACACACTTATGTGGACATCTACTCTACCCCCATCCCATCCCTCAGGTGATCGTCAGAGTGAGGCCGGAGCCCGGGGCCAGCGCGGCGCCGGTGGTGGTGGCGCGAGATGAGCGCAGCGTGGCCTTGCTGCCGCTACCCTTCCCCCCCCCGGACCCTACGGGGAAGGCTAAGCCCGCCGTGGACACGAAGGTGGCTCACTCACCGCCGCCCTTGGCGTCGCGTTGTGGTTGCCTTTGGGTTTGGCCGGACGTTGCTGCTGCCGTTCGTTCGTTTGTTGGTTTGCTGTTGTGCGTTGGAAGGGTGTTCGAGGTGCATGGCGGCACCGAGGTCGAATTGCGATTAGCCGGACGTGGGATGTCGTCGTTTGTTGGCTTGCTGTTGTGCGTTTGGACGGTGTTCGAAGTGCATTGCCGCGCCGAGGTCGAATTGTCAAAGTTCCGTCGCAAGAAAATCTGTTGGCACGTGTACCCACCACCCTCACTCTTCATGTTTGGTACGCGTCTCTCTCTTTCTAGATCCTTGCAAAGCAGTCGCCCATGAACGTGGCATTGTAGTTTGCTGCTCTCACGCGTAAGAGCTTCTGGTCTCCCGTTTTTCATTGTCAGGTTCTCTTGATTGGTTTACGTCGTAGCCCTGATCTTTGTCCATGCTGGAGTTTACACGAGTATGACCTTGCAGGCCCGTCCCCGTTTGACCGCATTCTCTCTCTCTCTCTCTCTCTCTCTCTCTCTGTCTTTCTCTACCTCTCTCTCCGTCTCTCTCGCTCCCTCTCTCTTCTCTTTCTCTCTCTCTATCTCTGTCCTGCTGTGTTGTTCCCAAATGAGGCATTTTGGCTCCCCAGAACCTCTCTTCCCCCGTCGGCCTAACCCTGTTCCTTTGTGCCTTTGTGCCCTTTTACACTGTTGACATCGTTGTTCGTAAATGTTCCGAAACCGGGGATCTGGTCGTTTTTATTATTTTGTTCGGCGGGGAAACGGTAGACCTTCACGTTCGACAAGGTTTTCCCGCCGCAGGCGTCGCAGGCGGAGGTGTACGAGGTCGCTCGCCCCCTGGTCCTGTCTGCTGTTGATGGGTGAGAGGAGAGGCGGGGGGAGGCGGCGCTCGCTGCACTTGTCAAGTGCTGTCGTGCGTGTCGCTTGAGTTTTCGACAAATTGTTTTTTTTTGGCGGGCCGACTGATTTTTTTTTTTTTTCGTCTTCACTTCAAATCAGCGCTCACAGCACTAGTGGCGTTTACTCCAACCCGTGGTCACGCAGAAGAGCCCCTCTCTACCCTCCCCTCCTGCGGTACTTTGCCTTCGATTTTTAATGCGAGAAGAGTTCAGCACTCTCTTCCCTCTGTGTACACACGAACTAGCGCTATCCACTAGGCCAGGAGCGGAAGCGATAGAAAAACTCACTTTGCAAGAAAAGTTCACTTACGCCGGGATTCGAACCCCTGACCTGACCTCTAGAAGGTTTCGAGGATACGAACTAGACCACCGGGGCGACCGGCTACTATGCTGATGGAGGAGGGCAAAAACGGGCGGGGCTGAAACCGCTGTTGGGCAATATGAGAGTTGATCGATACGAGGACGTGCACTCCCTCAAGGGTTTATGCGCTTGGTCGTGGTTTGGAGGGGGTCCGGGTGTCAACCTGCCAGGTTGTCCGCCCTTCTTGACCGTCTTGTTCTCCCTGCCCTCTTGCGCTCCACCTAGGGCACCTGTCTCATCTGTGCCGTCGCTAACTCCCCCCAACCACTTTAGCTCTTTCTGCCTGTCCGTACCGTGATACGTATCTGCGCCACGTCACGCCTTTCTTGTCCCGTTTCAAGGTACAACTCCACCATCTTCGCGTACGGCCACACGGGGTCCGGAAAAACGCACACCATGATGGGAACTCCCTCGCAGCCCGGCATGACCCCGCGCGCGGTCCAGGACATGTTCGCCTTGATCCGGCAAATGGCAGGCACGATATTTTTCACACGTAGGACAGATCATGAGCTAGCTCACCCGTTTGTGTCAATGTTGTGCATTGGTGGTGGTTGTGGACAATCAAATAACCTCTGTTACCCAGGTCCATTTCCCGCAAAACCCACACAGCTGCTGCTGAAATTGACTTATGCCACGTAGTTTCCGAGCAACACGTTTGAGTTTCAAGCAGAGAAAGTAGTAAGTGGGTTGGCATCCACTGGTGCGTTTATTTTCGTGCACACGTACTACGTTGTAATGTTGGTCAGCCGCCAAGCCGCAAACTCCGGAATCCATCAATTTTGTTCTTGGGCACCCATCTTCGTGAGTCGATGTTCTACCCTACCCCGTCATCCCACCACGCTGGTCCACAAACCCTCGTGGTTATCCGTCTCGGAACGGTTGGGGTGGAGAATTGATCGACAGCAGTCCCGCGAGCGATGCATCTTGCTGAGCCCCTCTCCCTCGCACAACACAGCTCGGGAGCAGGACACCATGTTCATCGTTCGCATGAGCTACGTCGAGCTGTACAACAATCGGTTCCGCAACCTCTTGGAAGGAGGAGGCGGGGGGGACGGTGGGAGCGGCGGCGACGGCGGGGACGGGGTCGGGTTCGGGAGCAGCATCGGAAGCGGCCGCGGGTCTTGGCGGGAGGCCGCGGATGCGGAGGTCAGCTCGTCAGTCAGCTAGTTGGTCAGGCTGGGTGTTGTGACTGTTGGTTGGGGGAGGGTTTTTTGTGTCGCAGGAGACTTGGTGCTTGAAGCAATCCCCCCCTCCTCGGCGTGAGGAAGAAAATAGTGGAACTACAGAGAGGTGTTTGAGGCCTGGAATAGCCAGGAGACGACGGTAGCTGTTCTCTGTCTCTGCTGCTGCTACTCCCATACTCTCTCTCCCTCTCCCTCTCCCTCTCCCTCCCCCTCTCTCATTCTCTTCTGTCTCTGCCGCTACTCCCGTACTATTTCTCTTCCCTCCTCCCGTCTACACCTTTCAGGTTTCTTCTCTGAGCTCCTCCTGGCGCTCGACAGCGTCCCCGCCGGGCTCCTCCCGTTCCCTCTGCGGAGGCGCTGCCGCCGCCGCCGCCGGACGAGGGCTGTCTTCCCGCTCCTGCGAGGGAGGCCTGGCCGCGCTGGCCGCCGGTCAGAGGAGAGCCGCCGCCGCGGCTACGGTGGCGGCTGGCAGGAACGCGAAGATCGAGGTCCGCGAGAGCCCCGAGGTGGGTCAGGCGGTGTGCCGTGGGTGACGCAAGATAACACACCCCCTGGTGTACCGCAGGCGACGCAAGATAGCACATCCCCTGTTTTGGACCGGTTTTCGAAAGCTCGACTAGTTCAGAGTGGAGGTGCCGAAAAGTATTGCGACGTTCGTTGGAACCCTCTCGTCGACGGAGAGCTGTCAGAGAATGCACGGTTTGACTGCTGTGTCATCGTGTTCTTCGTGGAGTAACAGTCGAGCTTTGAAAATCGGTCCAGGGGGTGTGGTATCTTATGTCATGTCATGTCACCTATGGTAGTAGCTGAACCAGCGGATGCGTACACCATGGCGAGGTAGTGGGGGGGGGGGCACACAGATAGTGTAGCGGTTGGGTAAGGAACGCGAGATAACAAGCACGACAACCACTATCAACCGAGGCGCCGGCAAGTGTTCGACGGTGTTGCCATTTCCACGGCGAACAGCACTGCCGTGGGTGGTTCCACCTCCGGGACCACCACACCAACGCCAACAACATCGACAACATGAGCAAGAGCAGCGGCTAAACGTTCTACCACCACCGCCGCCAACAACAACAGCGACAGTTATCATAGTTCTCTCACCCCACCCCAAAACTTACAACGAACGGACAACACCAATACCACCACCACCAATTTCGGTGGTACGTAACGCGAGAGGGCATAAACAGGAGCAATGATGTTTCTGCCCCCGGCAACAGCAGCAGAAGCAGTGTAGTACCGTCACCCCGACGAAAGCACGACAAGTCACATCATCCTCAGCCAGCACCAATACCACTACCACCACCACCACCGCCGCCGCTCTCCTCGTCGCCCACCTCGTAACGCGAGATGACAAGTACAAACGTTTCCACGACATGTCACGTACATCTACACCCAAGACCAATACCACCACCACCACCACCACCACCACTGTCGCCATTGTCACCACCACCATACTGTAACCAGGCGGGCGTGTTCCTCAGCGGACCGGGCCTCCGACGAGCCGTTACGAGCGGGGAGGAGGCGCTGCGGTTGGTCGCCAGGGGCGACGAGGTTAGGGCCGTGGGGGCCACCGACTGCAACCAGCACTCCTCGCGGAGCCACGCCATCTTGTCGT